TTGATTTGGTGTTTTGCCGATTAGACAGGTTTGTTGTTATAGAAGAGGCCAGTATATATGATCATGTAAAAGTTTAAAAGTTGAGGTTATCTTACTCCCTTATTCTACTGCACCAAAAGGAGTTGGAGGTCAATACTTTCCTTTTTCGTTTCCCCTTTCCCCTAGACTTTTCTCCCTCCCCCCTTTTCCTCCCTTATTTTCCCATTGTTTTCATTTTTAATTGTGCTTTTCTATTTTATACTTTGATAAACTAATAAAACATTAACCATCTAGGAATACAGAGCATGAGCATGAAAAATAGAAAGCAGAGCCTTCCCAGGTGGAGGCAGGGAGAGATGGCCCTGCTCCAAGCAGAAGCTCTGCATTTGCCCCCATGTCCGCTCCTTGTGGTGTCTTCCATTCCTGGATACAATAAAAGTTCCATTTCTGGCTGCCCCAAAGGCGCTTTTTCAAAAGGCAACCGGCCTTTGTTTTTGCTTGAAGACATTTTGCTTCTTATACAAGAAGCTTCTTCGGGAACATGATTTATAGCCCCACTGAAGTTGAACACAGCCCTAGATTTCCTAAGGGCCCAATGACTACCTACCTGTGGCATGATATGAATTGGCATGCGGTAACTCTGGGGTCATTCTGTTCCTGGAAATAGCCAAGCCCTCACTGACACAGTCCAAATTGTCAGGCCTGCCCCAGTCTGATCCCTTAGGAAAGAAAAGCCCTCAACTCCATTTGATTGAAGTGAAAGATACTTTTACTAAAAGTCAGGCTGAATCCGAGTTTCATGCACATCATTATTTTCTTCATTCACCGTTCCTCCCCCGATGACCAGTCCAAATCCAGCCAATGCGATGCCACCAAGATGTTCTGGGAATGCTGAGGTGTTTGGGCTGGTAAATTTCCATACTCAAGGTAAATGACCTCTTCCTCAGCTGTCACCCCCCTTCCCTAATTCTCACAATAGATAGATACAGGTTTATTGCCCATTTGTCCTCTCCCCCTGGTCCTTTGACGTGAGGCACCAAGCCAAAGATGGTGGTCCTTATATGCTGTCCCCCCCCTTAACAGGGAGGTTAGTCCTGCAGAGGAGAAAAGAGGAGAGAGGGAAACATAACAAACATATGATTACATAAACAAATGACTTTGGTTTGTCAGGATATTGGTTGTGGAAACGTTTTATGAGGTTAGAGGCTTTCATGTGCTTCATGTCCACCCACTGTCTTTCCATGCAACTAAGTACTGGAGTTTCCCACAGGAATCTAATATGTCAGTAAAATGAGGACCCAAATTGTTGGGGGCCCCATGCTGACTCTGTAAACCGTGTAGCGAGGGCTGTATAAAGCACTGTGAAGCGGTATATACGTCTAAGTGCTATTGCTATTAGCATTCCATGGTCCATTTCAGCGGCTGGCTGGGCTCTTGCAATGAAATAAACAGGGTGCCCTACAACTGTGTGCCTATGCTGCTGTTACAGAGGAGACTTTTGGCACGGTGCACTGCACTGCCTTGGAAGATTTCTACCACAACTGATAACAGCCCTACCCTTTACTTCAACTGCTTAAAAAGACGCTGCTCCACAATGAGGACGCGCAGAAAATGAAGCTGTCAAGGATGTGAAACTTAACCCAAAGCTCAATGCTGGCATTCTAAAATGTCAATGGATGCAGTGACTGTGGTGTAGGCAGAAGGAAGGGGGCAGGATGGTTATTTCTGTGATGATTAAAAAAAGAAACACTGAGAAAATACTGAAGCAAGCCCAGCAGCACTAAATGCAGAGAACTGAAGACGAGCTGTTGCAGGGCCATGACCCAGTCAAAACTTTTTTAAGAAGGCAGCAGGCTGTGAGTTTGGCCTCAAGAAGCAAACCCCACACCACATCTTGGTTCACCTAGAATTGAATTTGGAGGTGCTTTGTGGTAACCCTGATCTGTAACCATGGTGTCAGGTCTCTACCAGAATGCTGCCATTCTGGAGGGAGGGGGCAGAACTAGTTGGGGATTGAGGATGTTTCTACTTTTGCTTTGATGTTTCTGCATGGGAATTGGGGAGAGGGGAATGAGCCCCCCAGGGCATCTGATTTGACTCCTTTCCAGCTACCTCCTGCCAGCTAGCAAGGTCATTATCACCTTTTTGACTCGGAGTTCTCACAGCATCTTCACGCCAGCAGATTGGCTCCTGATGCACTGGGCATTGGGGTGGGGTTTGGACAATGGGAAATTTAGCTTAACGTTCTGCATGGGAACTTCAGATTCTGCCTGACTTCTTTGCAATCACTTTCAGTAAAAGATCCTTTTGAAATAACGCTTGTTTCAAGAGTCATGCTTTCCTGAGAAGATAGCTGAGGCGGGACCTTACATTAGGTGGAATCTGCCAAGTGGTCAACCTGGAGAGGCACCCGCCCTATTGTGGGGACCATGCAAATGATGTCTAACCAAGGCAGTGACCAGGAGGAACTCAGTGCTGGGGGGAAGCCTCTGCTAAGGCCCATCCCGGCCAGATGGAGGGAGGAAGCTACCAGCCTAGGGGACTTGTCTAAGCCAAGATGGTCCATAGGCATAGGGAAGAGAGATGATTGTGAAGGGAGGACCAAAGGGGTCACCCTCACCAGGGGCAGCCACTGCCATTATCTTGGTTAACAACAGTAACTGGGACTGGAATTTTTGTTGCTGGATGATGTAGTCCTAAAGCCCAACCGAACGTGATGGCATTGGTTAGCAACAGGAATCCCAGCACTCAGTTGCAGTTGTCTAACAAGGATTGTGGGTCATTGAGGGAGTCCAGGAGGCTGGCAGGCAGACAGGTAAATGGCTGCTACAGGTGAGGGAGAGTGTGAGCATCTTACCAGAGTGACTCACATCTTTCTGTGCCAGTTTTGCTTGAGGGAAGCTAGAGGGAAGTTCACAAAAGACGATCCTAGGACCAAGGAGTTCTGCAACCGTCGTAAGTTGAGTCTGCTGTCATGTAATGATTACATGACCGAGGCGAGTCAGCAAGTGACGACTCCCCTGCTTAAAAACCAGTATGGCTAGATAGTAGTCTCATTAAGAAGTTGTAACAGACATTGCCACACAATTAATGGAGGGGAGAGAGAGATTACAAGAGAAGACAATATTACTCATATTGCAATTAGTTCTCGTTATGCAGAAGGCAACTGAGAAGCAGAAAAAAATGCAAACTGATAGGTGAATTCAAGCAGAGGAAGATCACTTTATTTGTCTATGTTTTTTTTTCCTTTATAGAATTATAAAGCAATCCCAAGGCAGCCTCTAAGTCCTGCCAATGCAGCCCCAGGCGAACTTCCACGATCTCAGGAACAAACATGGTCGTTCGCTGGCCTGATTTCAGGGGAGTTTGTGCAGGGGCAAGTTGGTTGTGCAACTTTGTCCATTGTTAACACCATCACGGGACGCACGTCTGAGCAAGATTGTCTCCCGGCCCAAGGGCAAGTTAAATTGGATGGCCAAAAGAAGCAGGACCCCAAAGGAAGCGAGCGCTAGGCAGCCAGGGCCAAGAGGCCCAATTAGTATGTGCAGAAGACCTTCGCGCTCTGTCCAGAAATGGGGTCAGGCAACTGCTCAAGATGTGGAGAATTGATCCCACCACAGAGCAGCCTTCACCTCCAGCCCCAGAAGGTCTCTTGTCTTGATCCGGGGAGCTTCATTGCTGCACATGGCCGAGGAGAGAGTCTGTGCAGATGGGAGCCGCCCCAACCGGGGGCAGAACCATCACAGGTGCTCTTAGAGATGACCATGGGGTCACTTCAGAGTTAGGAAATTGGGAACATCCGTGATTTGGTTTGTCACTGTCTTTGTTTTGTGGATTATAGCTCCAAGTAGACAGATGTTACCTACACAGCAAAAGCCATCTTTTGTGAGGGGGGAGACAGAAAGAGAGAAGTTACAACCAGGGGAAGCAGCTCAAGCTTGCAAGCAACTTAGAGATTTATGTTATTAAAAATAAAGCTACACTTGCTGACTGGAAGGTCCCAAACCGACCCGGGTTGTCTTTGCTAGGCCCGAGGCTGATCCAGCTGCACTAGGGTGGCTGGGGGATGGGGGAGGAAGAGAGGGGGCTTTGCTTTCAGCCTCCTTAACCGAATTTCAATTGAGTTTCAGAGAGATTGCCAAACTTTGCTGTCTCCTCAAGGGATTAATCCTGTTGCAACAACAATATCAATTTAAATAAAGAAATCAATATTAAGCAGAGGAGACGCTCTGCTGAAAAGCTAGGAGTAGGTGATGGGGGTGGTAGTCCAGAAGGAGCCCAGCCAGGAGGCGATGGACTAAGATGATGGTCTGAAGTGTGTGTGTGTGTGTGTGTGTGTGTGTGTGTGTGTGTGTGTGTGAACGTATGTTTATAGTATGTTAATTTCAGGCCACCTCAAGCAACCCTGGAATATAAAACCCATGATGCACAACCCACACCACCATTGGCGAATAATTGCATGAGCTGTACCAGGCGTGATTAGGAATTATCGGCAATGCGGTCCCAGCAGCCTCAGAACCTTTGCACCTGGGGGTGATTTAGAGGTCCGGGTCTTTCTGTCTAATTTTATGGAACTCTTTTAAAATAATTATTAGGGATTCTCCAGGAGAAGAGTTTAGAATTTCGAATGGGGAATCAACAGCTACATGAATTCTGGAGACGGGTCTGTGATGCTTGCCCGCCTTCAAGTGGTGGACGCAGGTCCATTTTCTCTTTCTGTACTTGCTGGTGAGGCACAGGGTGACTCTGCACAACTCCCGGGGGGGGTTTTGCTAAAGGGGCCAGAGGTGAGTGATAACATCAAGGAGGCCCTTCTTGCACGGAGAGCTCAGTGTGAGCTGCTGGGCTGGCTTGGAGCTCAACCACCTTGGTTAAAAATCAGGAATGGCAGGACTTTAACCTTGCGCAGGGTTGTAGAATGACCTGGAAGATGCAGAGGCCTTCTCAGTCCCGGCTGGTCTGGTCCAGCATTCCTGGTGCTTATGAGAATCTTACATCCCCACCCCCCTTTTTCCCCTCAGGGACTTTCCGAGGAATCTGCAAGCAGATCAATCATTTTCCAGATGATGCTGACTATGATCAGGACGCTGCTGAGTATCTCTTGCGTAAGTTGAGGGATCCTGATGGGGTAAGAAGTGGGTGACTCAGTCAGGAAAGGCTGTCTCATTCACATGTGGGGCAACCACACGGTGGGCCCCATGGGGGGGAAAGTCAAATTGGGGTGTGCCCAAATCCTGTTTTGAAACTCTTTTCTAAGCACTGCATTCATTCTAAAGCAATGAAATAACTGCTGAAGTTTACCTTCGTTCCTAATTTCTGTTTTCCAATCATTGAGGGGCTGCCACCAAGAAGAAGGGGTCCATCACCAGAAGGCAGGACAAGAAGCAACGGATGGAAACTACTCAAGGAGAGAAGCAACCTAGAACTAAGGAGAAACTTCCTAACAGTCAGAACAATTAACCAGTGGAATGGCTTGTCTTCAGAGGTCGTCGGTGCTCCATCACTGGAGATTTTTAAGAAGAGACAGCCATTTATCCAGAATGGTAGATGGTCTCCTACATGAACAAGGGGTTGGACTAGAAGATCTCCAAGGTCCCTTCCAACTCTGTTATTCTGTTAGAGCTGATAACCCAAATAGTGTCTCTATTTTTCTCAAACCCAGCACAAGTGATGCACTGATGCTTCAAAGTGGCTGGATTGGTCTGCTGAAAGAGATAACGAACAGTCTGATTTCACCATGCAGGGAGGATGGTCAAAAAGTCAAGAATAGAATAGAATAACAGAGTTGGAAGGGACCTTGTAGGTCATCTAGTCCAACCCCCTGCCAAAGCAGGAGTCCCTACACCATTTCTGACAGATGGCAGTCCAGTCTCTTCTTGAAAGCTTCCAGTGATGAAGCTCCCACAACATCTGAAGGCAAAGTGTTCCATTGGTTGATTGTTTTTGCTGTCAGAAAATTTCTCTTTATTTCCAGGTTGAATCTCTCCTTGATCAGTTTCCATCCTTTATTCCTTGTCTGGCCTCCAGGTGCTTTGGAAAGTAGGTTGACCCCCTCTTCTTTTTAGCAGCCCCTCAAATATTGGAACACTGCTATCCTGACTCCCCTGGTCCTTCTCTTTGCTAGACTAGCCATGCCCAGTTCCTGCAACCGTTCTTCATATGTTTTAGCCTCCAGTCCCTTAATCATCCTTGTTGCTCTTCTCTGCACTTTCCCCAGAGTCTCAACCTCTTTTTTATAGTGTAGACACCAAAACTGATTGCAGTCTTCTAGGTGTGGCCTTACTAAGGCTTCATAGAGTGTGTTAATACCTCACGTGATCTTGATTGAATCCCTCTGTTAATGCAACTTAGGATGGCATTGGCTTTTTTAGCTGCCGCTGCACACTGTTGGCTCATATTTAATTGATTGTCCACTAAAACTCCAAGATCCCTCTGACAGTTGCTGCTATTAAGCCTGGTTTCACCCCAATCTATATGTCAGGTCCCCAAATCCTTATTCTTTTCCTTGCATATATACTCTACTTTTGGGGCCTGCCCTTCTGCTCGGGGGAGGGGGAACTTTGCATTAGCTTGGGATAACTTTCGCTTTCTACTCTCTCTTCCTGCCTCCATCCCTTTGAGAAAGGAATGTGTCTCCCTTGTCAGGGAGATGGTTACAGAGAAAGGAAACTGGAGAAGACCTTGAGATGCCTGCCAACGGTGCCAGTTACCTGCACATTGTGCCACCTGTGGATTGGCTGGATTTCAAATGGACATTATGACTTTGGTGGGAGGAGGAATATTACTAGTTTAACTATACCGTTTCAGCGGGTGTTTCCCCAGATCTCGCCTTGACTTCCCTACTGTCACTGACTCCCTTTTGAGACAATGCTTGTTTCAAGAGTTCTGCTTTCTTGAGTGGTTAGTTGAAGTGGGTCCTTACACTATATGTGTACTTTTGGTTTTTCTTGCCTAAGTGTAAGACGTAATCGAAGACTCTGTGCACATGCGACACCTGCAAAATGGGCTTTGGCTGCACAGTCACAGCTGCCATCTTGTCCCCTCTGCAGATGCTCCTGCCGTGCTGGGGTAGTCCCTGGCCTGCAATGGCCTTGATCCCTGGGCCAGCTGCAGATACCATCTCCTTTTCTCCCTCCAGGTGCTGTAAGAGCCTCCAGCATCTTCCCCCTCCTCAGTGTGGGTCTCCTGTTCTTCGGGGGACTCTGCGTGGCGGCCAGTGAGTTTTACAAGAGCAAACTCAATGTCATTCTGAGCGCAGGCATCTTTTTCGTTTCCGCAGGTGAGTTCCATTTTTATGCAATTCCCCATGTTGGACATCAAACTGGATCATGAAATAAAGTGGCAACATTAAGTACTATGATTTCATATTGGAGCATTTTCCATATAAATATAAGTGGATCATAGCAGATTATTTAAAAAAAACCAAGCTAAGATACAGAAGAGGGAAAAGATAAGGATCACACCTTACAATAAGCTATGATTTGTTTTAATAAGCCACAATGATTGTTTTCATGCTTTAATTCATAATTTATTGCTTAAGCCACAGCTGGCTGTTCTTAGCACTAAGCCCTAACAACAGCCTGCAGTCACCATGATTGATCGAATAAAGTAATCACATTTGGACATTGCCTGTGCGAAGCTAGACAAGGAAAGCATAAAGAAACGGTTACATGAGGCCAGTTTTCCGGGCTTTACGATTAACAAACTGCAAAAGTAAAAATAAACTCAAGTCTTGAATTGCAAGATTTAGAAAACAATGTTTTCACAAATAGGGAGCTCTGCAGATGTCATGAAAGGAGCCAGAAAGAATGACATCATATTTATGTTGCCTTCAGAATGTTCATATATGCCTTTGTATGCATGTGACATGTCTAATCACAGCCTCCCACACTTTCAAGGTCCCATCCGTGGAACACCACTTGGTCTTCATAACTGAGATGCATTGGCATTTTCCCTATGGCTTCTCCCATTCCATGTCTGAACCTTTGTGGCCTTTTTAAAAGAAAATTCAGATGCAACTTTTTAAAAAACAGATTCAGGAGATGCCGGCCCATGCTGGACTTAGGGCAGAGTTTCTCATCCATTCCTTGTTCTTGTTCCTCTTGAGGTCACTTGAATTTTTATTTATTTGTCATGGAGCGATTATGGGTGGTGACCCAGACCATTGCTAATACCATATAGAAAACAAAAGGATAAAGGGATCCACTGGCTCTGTTGGTTCCGTGGAAATTCATCATAGCTCATGACAGATGAACTCCCCTCTCTCCATGAGGGATCTGCTGTTGCCTTTAAGAGGTTTGCACAAGACAGATCGAGGCCACATCTACCGTATGTGGACTTCCCTCCCGGTGTCGAAAACTATCAGGAAATATAGTTCTCCTGGCATCACAACAGAAGCACTTTGTGGGATCTCCTCCATTGCCGGGGAAGTCTGGATGAAGGAGGATGATCCTAAATAGATCCAGGCCTTGTCTTTTTTTTTTTTCTTTTTTCTTTTATTAAAAATTTTATGAAGATTACAATATAAACCCCCATACCCACCCCAAAACCCCTCCCCCCCCACTTCCCAGAGCTGAACACAGGGTTACAAATATAAAAATCAAAATCTATCTAGCATTAACCAACTATTAAAATAACCAAGTCCATAATGCACTTTAACTCCCCTTTAACACAAATTTAAACAAGTTAAAATTAAACACAATAATAAACATATTCATAACCTAAATATTAAACAATACAATACTAATATTAAAAATAATAATAATATCATATAATTAAAACTAACAAAAATTCCATTAAAATAAACTATTAATAATAACAATACTCTAGAGTTTACTCATAACCCAAATGGAACTTTTTAGTCCCATATTTATTCTGAATATAATCTATCCATCTTCTCCAGACCGAGATGTATCTTTCTTGTGATTGATCCTTCAAATAAGTGGAAATTTTAGCCATTTCTGCTAAATTTGACACTTTAAGCGTCCATTCTTCTATAGGCCTTGTCTGGATCCAGAAGTACCAGGCATGCTGGTTTCAGGCTTGAATACCTTGCTGGTGATGGTTGCTTTCTGCCACTCACATCCAAGTGGTGAAGCAGACGAGTTGCATAATGGAAATTGATAAATTCACAGGAAAGCCTGAAGACCTATTTATGGTATTGATGCTAGAAAGGTCTCTGCAGTTTATCTATGTAAGATGTGGCTGGGGGTTCTGGGAATTGAATTCCAGAATCTTAAGGTTGCCAAGGTTGAAAAACACTGATCAAGAGCATCAGAAAGACAGTAACTAAAGTTACCACAGATGCTGAGCTTGAGTGTATCACTTTTTTGACTCCAGAGCCCCAATTTATGTTGTGCTGCTCTCTGCTCTTCCTTTCAGGGCTCAGCAACATCATAGGGATCATAGTTTACATCTCAGCCAATGCGGGGGACCCCGGGCAGAGTGACTCCAAGAAGAGCTATTCCTATGGGTGGTCCTTCTACTTTGGTGCCCTCTCCTTCATCATTGCTGAGATGGTTGGTGTTGTTGCTGTCCACATGTACATCGAAAAGCACCGCCAGATCCGGGCCAAGTCTCACTCCGTGGCCCTCCTGAAGAAGTCCACCTTTGCCCGCTTGCCCACCTATCGGTACCGGTTCCGACGGCGATCCAGCTCCCGCTCCACAGAGCCACGGTCGAGGGACCTGTCTCCCATCGGCAAAGGCTTTAATACCATCCCGTCCACTGATATCTCCATGTTCACTCTTTCCAGGGATCCTTCCAAGGTGACTATTGGGACTTTGCTGAACTCAGAGAGAGATCACGGTTTTTTACAGATCCACAACTCCCTCCCCAAAGAGTTCAAAGAATCTTTGCATAACAACCCTGCCAACAGACGAACCACTCCCGTCTGAGCCGAACCTGTCCCTGGATGGCCCTAGATCGGACTGTTGGAGATGCCGTGTACAGAGGTGTATCATTGAGACTGCATGTGTGATCCGCCCTTCCCTTCGATGGCGTAACCAGCAAAACCTTGTTTTTAAAGAGTAACCCTCGCTGTGCTCCCTGTCCACAGGCAGCCTAGATCTGAACAGGATGCTGTTCGGGTTTCATATCCTAAACTGCCAGTTGTTTGGCCGAGCGATTGTGGCCTGGGCCTGAATTCATCGGGGCCCTCAAGAGCCCACCCTCTTCATTCAGTGACCAAGACGGAAGATCGGGCTTGGCCTCATGCCTGCTGAAAAAAAGGACCCCAGGAATGATTCTGGGGGTGACTGCTCAGAGGCCCAACAAGAAGGCGGGAAGTGGTGCTGGGCCCCCATGGCTTTTCCTCCCCCACCCATCCCACTCCCACCCCACCCCCATCACCACCAAAACAGCCTTGGACTGTGGTCTCCATCCAGACATAGCATCTGGGGGGGGGGGGAATCCAAGCATGAAAACGGGAAGCCAAGTGCTTCTGAAAGACTTGGGCGATGCCCCCCTCCTTCCTTTGTGGACGCCCCGAAGGAGGCAGGCTCTGGGGGTGAGGCTGTCTGTTCTTGTGTGCATGCATTAAACAGCCTGGAATCCAATTCCCTCCCACATGGCGGAAAGAGAGGCGGCTCTGAGCCATCTTGGTGGGCTTTGGAAGGGCTCTGTATTCTCTTGCATATTCAACACTCTTTGTCAAGGTGTAAGGGGCAGAAACGCCCCCCCATTCCTGCCAAAGTTCTCCCACCGGGCAAGCATTTAATGTCACCCTGAAACGATGGCTCTGTATCCAGGTAGATGTTTCACAACACATCTGCTTTTTCAGATTTAGCATTTGTGTACCGCCTATGCCGTGGGATGATCTGAAGCACTTGAGATGTTAAAGGGAAACCAATAAAACCCCATTGAATCAGCCCTTGTGTTCCAGCGACTCTTTGTGTAAGGAAAAAAGGTCCTGATGGGACGGGGAACAATGTGGCGTCAGGGAAGAGAAGTGGCACAAAGCAGACGAGACTATTTCAAAAGGGCCCAACGAATAACAGAGTTGAAGGGACCTTGGAGGTCTTCTAGTCCAACCCCCTCTCACGCAAGAGAGCCTATGCCAGTGGTGGTGAACCTATGGCACGGGTGCCAGAGGCAGCACTTGGAGCCCTCTCTGTGGGCACACATGCTGTTGCCCCAGCCTCGCCTCCCCCTGCAACCCCCTCCTCTCCAGCAGCCCCCCTGAAGGAGAGTTGCCCCTGAGCATGGCCCATGCGGAGCAGCGCAGCCAAGGACATGGCAGCCAGGCAGTATAGACAAGACTCTACCCTCACACCCCATCATGCACAGTTGATGCTGCAGGGCGCAGGCAGAGGGCGTGACCACCATAGCGCTGCTGGGCTGCCTGGGCGATCTGCGGCAGGCCATGGAGGCGGTGAGTGGCCCTGCGGGCAGGCGGGGCAGGGGATGGGGGGTGGATTGGGGGCGGGGCAGGGGGTGGAGAGGGGGCGGGGGCAGTTTTTGGGCACTCGGTCTCTAAAAGGTTCACCATCACTGGCCTATGCCATTCTAGACCTGTGGCTGTCCAGTCTCTTCTTAAAAGCCTCCAGTGATGGAGTACCCACAACTTCTGAATGCAATTTGTTCCACTGCTTGATTGTTCTCACTGTTAGGAAATTCCTCCTTAGTTCTAGGTTGCTTCTCTCCTTGATTAGTTTCCATCCATTACTTCTTGTCCTGCCTTCAGATGCTTTGGAAAATAGGTTGACCCCCCCACCCCTTTTTTTATTTCAAGAATAAACTTGAATTCTGTTGCAATCTATCTGGGAAATCAAATTTGCAGGCCATGGAGGTTTTTTTTTCAGCTTTGGCTGTATCTAATTCGATGACGAGAGTGGCCGAGAATAGCAGCAAGGCTTTCATGCAGAGAAGAACAACTGAGGAACATCTGAGGAACAGCGTTTTGGGTAGCAGCCTTCTGAGGATGAAGGACTGGTGGGTTCAACAGGGGTCTTTGAGCCGGTTCTGCATTTTTCCATCTGGATTCTTCTTTTGATCCTAGAAGACCCTTGAAACCTTTTAGCTTGCGCTAAAAAATAGGTTATCATTTCTCTCTGAATCTTCTCAGGAGCAGGAAAGGACAGAAGGGAAAGTAGTTCAATCTGAATTTTAATAGAATTGCCCAGTTCACACCTTTAGAAAATCTTTAGAAGGGAAATCAAATGCACCTGTGCACCAAAATTCATCCTTTCCTGAAGTGAGAAGATAAAAAGTACATTCTGTACAATGTCTGCACAAAAATGCAAATTTGCTGAAGTACCTAAAAGCACACCCAATTTGGGGGAAAGGCCAAGAAAACATTTTTTCTGCATCTTGCTTGTGTGTTTACTGGCCTAGAATGCTTTGGAAGATGAGACCTATCCCGCCATGTTTCCTTGCCACCTGCTAGCACAGGGGTGTCAAACTCAATTTCATTGAGGGCCGCATCAGCATTGTGGTTGCCCTCAGGGGGCCGGGTGAGTGCGGCCAGGGTGGGTGCGGCCTACTGGGTGGGCGTGGATGGAGTGGGTGTGGCCTACTGGATGGGTGTGGCCAGCTCTACACCGTTCGCGTCAAGGGCGCCTGTGGGGGCCTGGGCAGGAGTGGGACAGATCTGAGGGTCTCTGGCAGAAGGGGGTGGGACCAGGGCAAGTGCCAAGGCATGGTCCACTGGAGGAGCCTCGCTGTTCCTCTCAGGCCATGCAGGGGGGGGGCTTATGGAGCTAAGACTGAATGCGTTTCAGCATAGATGGCCACCACAAAATTGTACATTGGCTCCCGACCGGCCTGGGCCGGGGCCAAGGCAGAGGGGGCCATTCCCTCACTGTTTCCAGGATGGCTTCACGGGCTGCATGAAACCACTTTGTGGGCCGCATCTGGCCCCCGGGCCTTGTGTTTGACATGTCTGTGCTAGGAGATCAGCCAGATCTAGAAAGATCTAGTAAAGGTGACCTTCTAGATATTTCCCTCTAGTTCCTGTGAATGAAGAAATACAGGGCATCGCTAACCCATGGTCTTTGCCAAGGGAAACTGGTATAGGCAGCATGGCATCTTTGAAAAGGCCCACCATACCATTCTTGCAACCGTCTTTTAGCCAATACAAAGAAAACTCAGATTTACACCTCTCAGCATTATGATCCCCCTTTTCTGACCCAAGGGATCCTTTCTGTAGATGGGGCAAAAACATCCACCCCCTTTATCTACCAGGAAGACAATTGAATGGCCACCTGTGTGAAGAAGCAAAACACGGAGAGACTGGAGGGTTTGGTGTTTGGTTAGTTGGCTAATTTGTTTTAAGCTGGAAACGAATGGTTGGACCACCATGAGCTGGCACGAATAAACCCTGTTTGGCTTTTCTGGGGAAACATGCTCCTTTATGCTTCATAGCACAGTAGAAGCAAAGGAGTGTGTCAATACTGAGCTGAGGCCCAGGTGGAATTTTTATCAGGCATTTTATGAGAAGCTCAGTTTTCTTTGATAGGCATCAATCAGGAAAAATCTGGAATCTCCTTCTCAAGCTAAGAAAGTGTATTAAAAGGCAGACGCTGTGAGCTACAGATGACAAAAGTGTCTGCCTTTTAATAAAGGCTTGTTTGTTTTCTGTACCACCCATCTCACCTACCGTAAGTGGCTCTGGGCAGTTTGTTCATTAGATCTTGCTTAAGCCAGAGAGCGATCCATGAAACCAAGTGGTCCTCCTGATTCTCATTAGTAGAAGGAACGTGAATCAACAGTTGTTCAGATTAAACCTGTTCGTCCGAACAGGGGCTACCAGGCTCCTTCTGAGTTTGGGCTACTGTGCAGTAACATGGCTGTCCTCTGATCATGTCTACTTGATAGGCATATATCCATTTCATAGATTAAAATTTTATTTTTAAAAAATAAAAAAAATGCATCCTCCTCCAATAGACAAAATCAGAGGGATTTTGGTCAATCCAGAAGCAAAAGCCCCCACCCCAAACTGCACGCCTACACCATCAAGAGGCCTCCAGGGGAAGTTGCACCCATTTTCCTAGAAATCACCAAACCACGCCCCTCCCCCCCCAGCAACTCCTTGCTAGGACATCTGTTTTCTGGCCATTGTCCAGCCCCGGCTGAGCCCAAACATCTTCACAGCCAATGAATCAGGACAGAATACCACCCCATGTGCCATCCGCTGCCACCTCCTCCAGACTGCGCAGTGTCCTTGTCCAGCAGATTACTCAGAGCATGTGTAATCAGGTTTCCTGGTGCAAGAGAAGGTTTCCTATGCTCAAACCAGCTCAAAATGGTTCTGGATCATTCCTTTCCTCCAACAGTGCTTGAAAAGGCATCACAGCCACCTTTCTCAGCATGACGGCCACGGTGTGGGGTGGGTGGGCAATGATGTCCACCTCAGTTCCTGCCGTCCTTCATGTCCAACTCACTATCAGGCAACTCTGGGCGGCTAACAAACATCATATAAACACAGGTACAAACATTAAAACAGTAAATATTAAATAAACAGAAATAAATTAAAAGCAGAAGACAATGGGATGTGGGTGGGACCTTCTTCCTAGTCCGGTGGTGGGATTCAGCTGGTTTGCACCACTTCGGCAGAACCGGTAGCTAATTTTTTGTTGCCCAGGCCCAGAATGGACTTCCGGAAGCAGCATCCACACAGAGAACCGGTGGTTCACATATTTGAATCCCGCCACTGTCCTAGTCCACCTCCAGTGTGGAGGCTCCCCATTGGGGTCCCAGTATTAAGGCCCTTTCGGAAGCCAAGAAGCTGGAGCAGTCTCACCTTGAGGAGCATGATGTTCCAGAGGATGGGGGCCATGCCAGAAAAGACCCTTATCCTGGGCCCCATCCTGGGACAAGCAGCTGAAAAGGGACCATGGACACTAAGGTCTTCTCTCGCGCATCAGCACAGACCTGCCTGGCCTCCTCTTTCTCTCAC